GCTTTCTTTGTATTTAATTTTTGACAGTTTGATTAATATGTGTCTTGGCGTATTTCTCCTTGTATTTATCCTGTATGGGACTCTCTGTGCTTCCTGGACTTGATTAACTATTTCCTTTCCCATATTAGGGAAGTTTTCAACTATAATCTCTTCAAATATTTTCTCAGTCCCTTTCTTTTTCTCTTCTTCTTCTGGAACCCCCATAATTCGAATGTTGGTGCGTTTAATGTTGTCCCAGAGGTCTCTGAGACTGTCCTCAGTTCTTTTCATTCTTTTTTCTTTATTCTGCTCTGCAGTAGTTATTTCCACTATTTTATCTTCCAGGTCACTTATCCGTTCTTCTGCCTCAGTTATTCTGTTACTGATCCCATCTAGAGTACTTTTAATTTCATTTATTGCATTGTTCATCATTGCTTGTTTCATCTTTATTTCTTCTAGGTCCTTGTTAACTGCTTCTTGCATTTTGTCCATTCTACTTCCAAGATTTCGGATCATCCTTACTATCATTATTCTGAATTCTTTTTCAGATAGACTGCCTATTTCCTCTTCATTTGTTAGGTCTGGTGCATTTTTATCTTGCTCCTTCATCTGCTGTGTGTTTTTCTGTCTTCTCATTTTGCTTATCTTACTGTGTTTGGGGTCTCCTTTTTGCAGGCTGCACGTTCGTAGTTCCCGTTGTTTTTGATGTCTGTCTCCAGTGGCTAAGGTTGTTTCAGTGGGTTGTGTAGGCTTCCTAGTGGAGGGGACTAGTGACTGTGTTGTGGTGGATGAGGCTGGATCTTGTCTCTTTAGTGGGCAGGTTCACGTCTGGTGGTGTGTTTTGGGGTGTCTGTGGCCTTATTATGATTTTAGGCAGCCTCTCTGCTAATGGGTGGGGTTGTGTTCCTGTTTTGCTAGTTGTTTGGCATAGGTTGTCTAGCACTGTGGCTTGCTGGTCGTTGAGTGAAGCTGGGTGCTGGTGTTATGATGGAGGTCTCTGGGAGACTTCCGCCGTTTAATATTATGTGGAGCTGGGAGGTCTCTTGTTGACCAGTGTCCTAAGTTGGCTCTCCTACCTCAGAGGCAGAGCCCTGACTCCTGGCTGAAGCACCAAGAGCCTTTCATCCACACGGCTCAGAATAAAAGGGAGAAAAAGTAGAGAGAATTAGTAGAAGTATGAGGAAAGAAAGAAGGAAAGGAGGAAAGGAAGGAAGGAAGAAAGAAGCAAAGAAGGAAAGAAAGGAGGGAGGGAGGGAGGGAGGAAGGAAGGAAGGAAGAAGGGAAAGAAGGAAAAAAGACAGAAAGAAGATACAGTAAAAATAAAATAAAGTATAATATAGTTATTGAATTAAAAAATATTTAGAAAAAAAAGAAAAAAAAAAAAGGGACGGATAGAACCTTAGGACAAATGTTGGAAGCAAAGCTATACAGAGAAAATCTTACACAGAAGCATACACATACACCTTCACAAAAAGAGGTAAAGGGGGAAAAATCATAAATCTTGCTCTCAGAGACCACCTCCTCAATTTGGGGTGATTCGTTGTCTAAAGGAGGGAAGGAAGGAAGGAAAGAAAGAAAGAAAGAACGAAGGTAAAGTATAATAAAGTTATTACAATTAAAATTAATTATTGAGAAAAAAAATTTTTTTAAAAAACCATGGACAGATAGAGCCGTAGGACAAATGGTGGAAGCAAGAGTATACAGACAAGATCTCACACAGAAGCATACACATACACATTCACAAAAAGAGGAAAAGGGAAAAAAATCATAGATCTCGCTCCTAAAGTCCACCTCTTCAATTTGGGATCATTCCTTGTCTATTCAGGTATTCCACAGATGCAGGGTATATCAAGTTGATTGTGGAGCTTTAATCCGCTGCTTCTGAGGCTGCTGGGAGAGATTTCCCTTTCTCTTCTTTGTTCTCACAGCTCACAGGAGCTCAGCTTTGGATTTGGCCCTGCCCCTGCGTGTAGGTCGCTGGAGGGCGTCTGTTTTTTGCTCAGACAGGACAGGGTTAAAGGAGCCGCTGATTCGGGGGCTCTGGCTCACTCAAAAAAAAAAAAAAAAAAAAACCCGCCCCGCACGCAGTGCGGGGCGGGCCTGCGGCGTCAGAGGCGGCGTGACGTTGCGGCAGAGGCCGGCGTGACGTTGCACCAGCCTGAGGCCCGCCGTGCGTTCTCCCGGGGAAGTTGTCCCTGGTTCCCGGGAACCTGGTAGTGGCGGGCTGCACAGGCTCCGCGGAAGAGGGGTGTGGAGAGTGACCTGTGCTCGCACACAGGCCCCTTGGTGGCGGCAGCAGCAGCCTTAGCGTCTCCCGCCCGTCTCTGGGGTCCGCGCTTTTAGCCGCGGCTCGCGCCCGTCTCTGGGGTTCGCGCTTTTAGCCGCGGCTCGCGCCCGTCTCTGGAGTTCCTTTAAGCAGCGCTCTTAAACCCCTCTCCTCGCGCACCAGGAAACAAAGAGGGAAGAAAAAGTCTCTTGCCTCTTCGGCAGGTGCAGGCTTTTCCCCGAACTCCCTCCCGGCTAGTCGTGGTGCACTAACCCCTTCAGGCTATGTTCAAGCCGCCAACCCCAGTCCTCTCCCTGCGCTCCGTCCGAAACCGAAACCCGAGCCTCAGCTCGCAGCCCCGCCCGCCCCGGCGGGTGAGCAGACAAGCCTCTCGGGCTGGTGAGTGCCGGTCGGCACCAATCCTCTGTGCGGGAATCTCCCCGCTTTGCCCTCCGCACCCGTCGCTGTGCACTCCTCCCCGGTTCCGAAGCTCCCCCCTCCGCCTCCCGCAGTCTCCGCCCGCGAAGGGGCTTCCTAGTGTGTGGAAACTTCTCCTTCACAGCTCCCTCCCACTGGTGCAGGTGCCGTCTTTATTCTTTTGTCTCTGTTTTTTCTTTTTTTCTTTTGCCCTACCCAGGTATGTGGGGAGTTTCTTGCCTTTTGGGAGGTCTGAGGTCTTCTGCCAGCCTTCAGTAGGTGTTCTGTAGGAGTTGTTCCACGTGTAGATGTATTTCTGGTGTATCCGTGGGGAGGAAGGCAATCTCTGCGTCTTACTCTTCCGCCATCTTCAAGGTCCCCCCCAGAAGCTTTACTTTTAATTGTCAAAACTTGGAAGCAAACAAGATGTCCTTCTGTAGATGAATGGATACATAAACTGTGGTATACGCATTCAGTGGAATATTATTCAATGCTGAAAAATAAATCTATCAAGCCATGAAAAGACATGGAGGAACCTTAAATGCATATTACTAAGTGAAAGAAGTCAATTTTAGGACAGTGAAATTTTAGGGCTGTAGGACCTAACCTAACCATAATGATGAGTACATCGTTTGCCTAAATCTGTAGAATGTACAACACCAAGAGGAAACCCTAAAGTAAAGTAAGGACTTTGGGTGATTGCTATGTGTCAGTGTAGCTTCATCAGTGGTTGACAAATGCACCATTCTGGTGAGTGATGTTGATAATGAGGGAGAGGATGCATGTGTGGGGAGAGGGTATATGAGAAATCTCTGTACCTTCCTCTTAATTTTGCTGTGAATCTAAAACTGCTCTAAAAAATAGTCTTTAAACAATAACAAAAAAAACAAGAACCAGTCTTAACATCATAAAATATTGTTTTTTCAAACGTGGCTCTGTCTATGATGGGAATAGGATTCTCCTTAGGAATTTGAGGTTAACTGTTTTTTAGCTCATGTCCTTAGATTCGGCCAAAGCTACTGGTAAATCTATGTGAGAACCAGTTACCTTTACACTGTTCCAAGACTGCAGCCCTAACCTTGTACAGTCTTCTGGAAAGGAGGTGCACTTACTTCTGAGGGAATTAGGTTGAGTATGGATATTTCATGACCATTTCTGAATGATAAACTCAAAATTCACAGAATGATGTGAACGGGCGTGGTTGCAGGCTTGCAGGGATCATGCTAATGTCCTCATGTCTGAATGGCACCTGTTTCTGCGTAACAGGGATGGGTTTACACAGCAACATACCCCATCCAAAGCTCGCAGGAACCAACTAACAGCGTTGGTAACAGGGCTGGGAAGGACCCAATATGCAGACTGTTGCCTTGAAACAAAGGGAAACTCTTTCCCTCATAAATTATTCTGGTTTTTATAAGTATGTTATAGACTACAATATCTCTGAAAATAGGAGGGTGGTAAAAGATGTTAATGGTTCTGCAGAGTCATAATAATGACTTGCAAATCTGTTTAAGTTTTATAGGTATTACTTTACTGTTACATAGGCATATTTGACAGTTGTCATTATGCACTTCTATTTTCTATAGACAATCTGTTGTCACTGTATTTGTTGAGATATTTGTTCACATCTTTTATGTAGTAAATCTTTATTGTTTGATCTGGTTCAGAGTAATGAATATTCTGGTTAATCTAATGTTGTAATAGTAGAATGATCCCACATATAAATTTTCAAGTCATAAAAATCCTCCGTGTCAGATTTTGTGCTTCAAGTCTAGGGATACTAAAATTGTTATAACAGCAGAGGTTGGCATAACACTGTAAATCAACTATACTTCAATAAAAAGAAAATAAAATCATTATATCTCATACATGGTTTATCCATTCCTAAGTATTAGAATTATATATCCTATGAATATATATGAATATATCCTATGAAAATGAATGTTTTTATAGACTCTGAAGTAATTTTAGGGTTTTAAAAACTCTCTTGATAATCAATATGTTAGTGTTAATTTTCATTATATTGTAGATTAACAAAAATGCTAGTTTAGAGTTATTATTAATGGAATTTGAATTAAAAAATTGCTGTATTCACCAGAAATTCTTAGAAACAGGAATCAACTATTTTTTATTTGAAGAAATTCTTTTCAGTAGAGTTCCTTTAGTCAAAAAATGTCCATTACTTTGAAATCTAATAATTTTGAGTTGTGTAGAGAGAGTTTTCAGAGATTAAAATATCATGGAAATAATCAGTATTCTATTCATTTCAGTTAGAAATGTTCTGAACTTATGGCAGTCTTGGCCACCCCTTGTTGATCTCATTAAATAGACAACTCACCCAAGGAAAACGTGATCTTTTCGGATGAGCTATTCCACACTTTGTTTCCAGGGACTGGAGACACAGCCATACACCAGATGGTCAGGTTGTTTGATTGGGCTGGTTTATTATCATACACACTTGTCAAAACAGACTTCAGTTCCCAAAATCCTCCTTTGTCTTTTCTCTTTTCATTAGTATGTGTATTTCTACAAGGCAGATAAGCATAAGGTTAGTCCCCAATGTTTTCCATATGAGCCATACAATGATGCCAAGGTATGGCTAGAGGCAGTGTGGTTTATGGTGATATAGACTCTAAAGTGGTCAAACCACAGCTTCTTTGCAGTGAGCGTTTGTGCGGAAGGCCTGGAATTAACCTGAACTCTTTTGTTCAAGCTCCTGCATGGCAACGATCCATGGTCAAAGCATGAAATATATTGATTAAAAGTGCTGCTTTATTTGTAACCATGCGTCTAGTGGGTCTAGGGACAAGTTTTCCCAGCTCATCAGCATTGCTTATTGATAACAGTGAGATTGATGATTCGCCCCTGGCCTAGGCGAGAACCTGGGAGGACTCTTCTGTCGAGTGTGAGTAGTAGCAGGAATATGCCTAAGTGACCAGGAAAATATAAAACAACCTCAGATGAGACTCCATTTTGGGCTCCCCACTTTGAGTGCTGTAAATGTGTACATGGGAAGCATATCCTTACTTTAAGAATATTGTTGCTAGATTATATCCTTTTCCTGAATTAAGCTGTAGACTTATAACACTGTCACTCTGGGTCCTGCAAGTCTTCTTTAGAAATATTAACTGCCACTGTTAGTACCACCTCCAAATAGCATACATGGTAGCAGGAAATGAATGTAAAACTCTCCATCCCTGTAGGCCAGAACTTTGTCTCACAGCTTCTTGACACTGAGGGTTCTAAATGCCAGTTCTGAAGTTATCACTTTCCAAAATAATAACTAAATGCAGTTGTGTGCTGGTAAAATTCTGGCCATACCTCCTGGCCTCAAGGTTGGAAGGGTAATGGGCACATCAAATCACAGCTTATTTAACAGAACGTATCTATAATGACCCTTAAAAGATATTTGCAGGATTGCATCCTGTCATTATTGTGGGTGAATTGTTTTTAAAGTGATCTAATAACAAAACCAGTAAGAGTCTCAAAATGAATCAAGTGGATCAATACAATCATTCATCAACGTAAACTTAAAATTTTATCAATTAAAGATCATAATGCAGCAAGAGCTATGTGACTCAGTGACTGTTGAAAATATACTGAGCTCTGAGGAAAAATGACTCAGGAGAAAGGAGAAGGGCTGCTGTCCCAGGCAGGAGACAGCTGGGATTGTTCTGGCAGAGGCTGCCATGTTTACCACCTATGAGAATATCGCTTTGTATGTTCTCACCTGAGCTTGTCTTGACATGTGTCCTGCTCCAGGAACTTTTAATCCTCTTGGTAAACATGTTCCTTGCCATGGAGCCAAGTCCTTTATGTACACTTCCTCCAAACCTCCTCACCCCCAACCCACCCAGATCCTTGCAAGAAAAAGTAGAAACTATTTGTTTATTGGTTTAAAGCAGTGATGCTAAGTTCACTGAACTAACTGAAATGATTAATTCATGTAGGTTGAATTAAACTAGTTGGCACTCATATAAAAGATTTGCATTTACTGAAAGTTAAATACAACGTTAGTGTTTATATACGAATTGACCAAGTCAAATATATTTCTTATATTCTGGGAAATGTTACCTCCCAACCCCTTGGAGGAGCTAGATGAGGTATCAGAAAATGGCATTTGGTAGGCAAGATGATGTTTTTCTTGGAATGAGAATTGCTCTTAAATGCCAAGATCAACTTGGGCAGTGGCAACTTCTGTTGTGCTTTGTTTTCTTTCTTTGCCAAACCCACTTCCATTGACTGATTTCCTTACCTTCTCTTTCACCTTGAGGGAAGCTTCTCTCTATAAACCATGTAAGATTTGCTGTGGGAAATACATTCCTCAGTGAGCAGGTAAATATTCTCTGGAGGGGATTAAAGGCAGAATACAGAAAGAATTATTTGCCAATTCAGAAGAAACTGAATTGGTACCCCTTATATCTCCACCAAGCCTCAAACAAGGCAAATTGGCACAAAATTATTTTCTCTACTTTTAACAAGGCAGTGTTTACCTGTAAGAGGTTTAAAGAGTGAACTATAAACAGGCAATCTCCTATACAGATGTTATAAATTAATGGTTAGAATTTAAGGTCAATTTAAGAAGAATCTAGGACTATACTAATGTTGCAAGTCTGGACTCTGGAAAAGGAAAATTACATCCCTACATAGGCAGAATAAAACTGTATAAATGGAAAGCAAAGAATAGAAAGAAGAAGCTATAACAGGCAGCGGCCAGAGAAGAATATTCTGTTAGACTGAAAGCTAAAAGAGAGCCAGACTTTTGTTGTTTTCGTTCCCCAAATAATGTAAAGTACTATTTGTAGCAACAATTACAGGAACCATTTAATATAAACATCTCACTTTTGACTTGTAAAGAGTTTTCCTAATTAATTTTTTATTTTATCATCTAAACAATCCTATAGGCTAGATAGGACTCTCCTTATTATTGCCATTTGACAGATGGGGAGATCAAGGCACAGAATCACAGAATGGTTAAAAGGAGTAGAATGTAGTTGATGGCACAATTGGAAGAGTTACCTTAATCCCAGTCCAAGACATTTCCTGGTAAAACACGTTGTATTGAAACAAGAAAGAAGTAGAAGAAGAGGTAGCTTATGTTACAAAACCCGGGAGCTTAGAGGAGGGTTAGTTATGTTTTATTTTCAACACTGTGTTTGTTCTTTGTAAGATGGTGGTTTTCTCAAGAGCCTGGTGAACATATCCGATAAGACTTATTGGATCTTCATTATTTTATCTGAGACGCTGCAAAATTATAATCCCATTTTTAGTTACTTGTTTTCTCATCCAGAGATATGTGTGTTTTACATATGACCAGCCCTAGTTCTTAGTTCTCAAATATTTTTCATTGATGAACATGAATATTGATGAATATGCTAGTTAACTAGTAAAGAACAATTAACTATATTTAATGCTTGGTGTGCCAATTTCCCCAAAGGATAGTGATGCCCAAAGAGTCTGGTCTTGAGCAGAACTGAGAAACCAAACCTAAGGATACTAAGTCCCATCTTTCTGGTGAGATCCCACCGAGGAGCAGTTGAACATCCCTCAGAACATCACATCATGGCAAAAACCCTAAGGAAATCATGAGACTTTCAGAGGAGGTCATCTGTTGTATCCAAAATGGTAGTAGCAAACACTGCAGCCCCAGCTTTCCTACCCATTCAGCACTTGCCAGTGGGATGCAGGCACGTGACGGGAATGCAGCTCCATGAAATTATGTCTCTTTCTGTCCTAAAAGTAAAACCAGGTCCCCTGAAATGTATTCTTAATAAGTAAAGAGAATTCAGTTTATTTAATCCAATAAAGTGCCAAAGATTGATATTTATCTCCAGGTCGTCCATGTAAGAGTTATAGGAATAAAATGTCTTTTAAAAGTTGTAAAGGTTTGTATTAATGCCCATACCTTTAACCCCTCTCATGATTCATTTTCTCCATGCTCATTCAACCCACCAGAAGATGAGATATGGTCATATCAGGAACAAGTAGGGGTTCCATTATTTCATAAAGGCAACTGGCTCACTGAAGAAATTTCTTGTCAATTTAATAAAAATATCAAAAAGATTTAACTCTTGTAGATTCTCTGAATTCAGATTTCATGAAATGATTCAGATTTCATATATTCTATACGAGCTCCAGACAGTGTTCCAAGATTTTGTTTAGGGATATGGTTCTTGTCCCGAAACTCCTTTAGTCTCCAAAATTGAAAAGCTTCAGACTAAACTAGTTCAAATTGAAGTCGAACATATTATGAAATGTCAAGCACATATGGTTTTGCTGAGAAAGCAGAGCTGTATTTCCAAACAATTAAGAAGAAAAACATGCTAAATTTGGAAAAAAAATGAAGTAAATATGAACAAGAGTTTACGTACACATACATATAAGCACACGCACACACACACACACACACACACACACCCCTTACTCTGCTGAGAAGTCAAAATCATTCACTCACTCAGTGTGTCTGTTGCATTCATGAAACAAGTAAATTATTGGTTTCTCCAGCACATTATTCTAAGTACATATGGAATAAGTAAGCAGTAGCACAAAGAATTCTGCAGTAAGTGTCAAAAAGTATTTGGAGAGTTCTGTGGGAGTACACAGAAGGATGAAATCTGGGAATAACTTAGAGGGCACAGTTATATTTTGTGGACAGGCAAGAGTTGGGCCTGGATCCTACAGGTGAAAAGTAGTGGGGGATTCACAAAGATGGGCAGATGGAACGGTTCATGGGCTTGGGAGTGAGGTGGGGATGTTGTCCTGGAAGGAGAGGTTGGAGCAGGATAAAACTGATGAGTCAGGAAAAATGAATCCAAATCTGGCTGTAAGACTGATCATTCCATTTCCACAGATGAAATACTGAAATGGTGACCATTTGTAAATTATCCCATATTCAGTTTGCTTAAGTTTGGACAGAGCCTTTTCCAAAGGACTTTTCACAGAATCAGTTTGAAAATAGCTGTTTAGTCTAGAAAGAGAAAACCTAAAAAAAGAAAAAAAAAAAAGAGTTTCCCTATTTGTTTACCGGCTCTTCATTTCTATTTGGGGTCTCTCCATGCCCCACACATTTGTTTTTCACTTGAAATTTGACCTTCAGTCTCTACATGTTTTCTACTCTACCATTTCTATATTTTCTTCTATAACTCAAAATTTTTTTCTCCCATGGACACCTTCTTTAAAATGTGCCTGTCTCCTCTTGGTAGGTCTTCCTTCCTAAATCTATCTATCTATCTATCTGCCTATCTGAAATACGTATTTTTTGCTTAAGTTGATTATACCTTTATTTCATTCCAATTGAGAGTAGAAGCCAACATATTTCAGCTTTTCCAATTCTAGTTACATAATATAATAAAAAGCAACCCCAAATTTGCTATATTTCTCTAAATTGGGGGGGAAGTCCTTTCACTTAATCTTCCCCTTTCTGCAAGTTCTCTGGCTTTTCTACTGACTGTATTTACAACATCAATAGTTTCCAACCAAAAATGGAGACTCATGGTCTGACAATTGGACAAAATATTTGAAACCACAGATATTCTTGAGGCATGTGGTTTCTCTGCCCATATGTCACCCATTCCCCCTCTTAAATCTCCATCTTTGCTTGACAGGCCAGATGATCTAGTCTTCTGGAAACAGAACTAAGACTTGTAGGTGCTCGACTTACTGTTTTACTACATGATATTTGCCAGGGACAACTTTCTTCAGCAGTGGAGGGGGGCGGAGAAAAGTTTTGCATTTGTTGCAGAAAAACCCTACAGGCAGGGACACTCCCACTTGGAAACGAGGCTTCCCTGGAAGTGGGAGGGAACAGGAACTGGAGGTGCCCTCCTCCCAGGAATAGGAGTCAGCTAACAGCCTTCTAAGGCGGCAGGAGTGCTCACCCTGCACCGCAGCCATCAGAGACCAGTCCAGAGCCTTGCTTGCCTGTAAGTACCCACTTGTGGCTGGGAGGTGCTTCCTAACTCTTCAAGGTTGCAAAGCTTAACGAATAGGCTCTCAATCACTTAAGAAATGACCTAAGAAGGGAGAGAGAAGTCAGGCTGTTTTTAACATGTACTATAATTTTCCCTTTGTTTATTTATTCTTAAAATGAGGTACCTCTTAAAATAAGCCAAACATCTGGACTAAGTTGCTGTCAGGAAGTTCTCATCAGCTGTTGGCTTTGCAGGCAATGGTGCCTGGGAAGGTGGAGGATGGTGAGCTGCTTGCCGAGGACACCCAGGCACAACCAGGTCTGTGGAGATTCGCTCCACCTCTCTCTCCTTCGGGCATGCCAGCTCCTCCCACTGAAAACAGCTAAGCCTGCTGTGTGGGCTTCCTAGAATCCCAGCCCCAGAGGGACCTCCCTAGGGACAAGCTAACCTCACATTGAGAACTTTATTTCCCAGACCCTGGCAGACTTTGTAGCCTCCGGACAGCCTGTTGCATCCGTTCTGAGGAAACGCGAGTCTCCGACATCAGCATCTGTCTATGCTTCGCTTCTACCCACGCTGAGGGAGACCCAGTGAGGACCCAGCCCTGGGGCTCCTGAACAGCCTGAACCCTGAGGCTTCTCCTCCTGCTTCCAGAATGCATTGGATCGATCGCCAGGAGCACAGAAACAGCGGACGCAGCCAGGAGGAGAATCAAGAGAAAAGCCTAAAATTTTCAATATTCAAAAACACCCGTGTTGCTGGTTGATGTAGAGAACACTGAGCTCACTCAAGAGCTTTGTATTTGTTGCACTAATTTGTTTTGTCTTCTGGGCCAGCCAAGGAGGGATCAGTATGTATCCAGGTCATGAAGGGAATGTACAGGAGGGCCTCCGAGGCCATTTTGCTTGGCTCTGATGCACCCTTACTCTCCGGTGAAGCAGAAAGGAAACATCACACCACCCAGGTGTGGCCGGCCTTTGACCATTATTGCAAATCCCCAAGACTTACCACAGTCCCTTGCCAAGTACACTTTTAGCCTTAGAGACTTTTGGAAAGGAAAGCTGTAAAGAAGAGACAGGATGAGGCAGGAAGAGGAGGAAGGAGAGGGAACCAGGATAAAGGCAAAAGGGGACTTAGAAGTGAAGGAGGAGATCAGTGAGACGGGAGGACCGGTCAGCCCTTTTGCGGGTGCCACGCCCACCCCGATGCCCCACAACAAGGGGACTTGGTTTTCTGAGGCCTGGGAGTATTTCCACCTGGCCCCTGCCCTTGCTGGACACCACCCCAACCCATACACCACCTGCTGCCTGTGTGGCAGGCAGGTGGGCCGTGGCCCAGGGGTTAACGTGGGCACCACAGCCCTGTGGAAGCATCTGAAAAGCATGCATAAAGAGGAGCTGGAGAAGGGTGGCCATGGTCAGGCCGGGCAGCACCAGGACCCCAGGCTTCAAGGGCCGCAGCTCCCCACAGGCATTGAGGGCGACTGGGCCAGGATCCTGGAGCAGGCCAGCCAAAGAGAAAAGGAGGCACTTAGGAGGGAGAGGGCAGTGGAAAGGAGAGAGCGAGCCCTGGACGAGGTGGAAAGGGCCATCCTGGAGATGAGGCAGAAGGTGAGGGCTGAGAAGAAGGCCTGCCAGAGGGACAAAGACCAGCCTGCAGCAGCTCATCCCTTCCATTTTGTTTAAACGGGGCTTGGGGGATTCTATTCTGAAAACACTGACTTTAGACCCGTAGCAAAGAAGGCCATTTTAGTTCCAGCTCTAATATATAGCAAAGTGGCTTAGTGGGATTTTGTTTTTAAGAGAAAGAGAGCATACTGTGGGTTAATCTCAGCAGGTCTGAATTGGCCAAATGCTTGTCTATAAGGTTCCTTAGAGCTGTATTCACCAAAACTTTAAAATATACTAACTAAAGAGAAATGTCGGCTTGCCACCATGGGTCTGTGGGTTATTTGGGGGCAGAATGTACCAGCCTGTCAGCACTGATGAGTGAAAATAATGGGATTTATGCCTAGCACTTGGTTTTGGTGGAATTGAAGGTTTTGATGGTTGAGGCTGGTTGGGTGGCTGGAATATGCCTATGCGACCAGCTCACTCTTGAGAGCCCACCATGAACAGAGATTAGGCTTCCTGGGAGAGAGGTGTTTGCACACATGCTGGTGTTGATTTGAGAACTGGATACAAAGCTTGTTCTGTGGGACCCAGCAGTGGAAGGACAAAGAAACCTGAGCCTGAGATCTCCAGGCCCTTCTGATGCATATCTTTCTCCCATTATTGCTGTGCTTTTATATTAAAGCTGTTTCATTAATATAGCCTGTCTGAATCCTGTAAGTCTCTCTCACAATATAACACATAAGTAATTAATGCATAATTAGCACAGAGAAAAGTAAAGACTTTTCAACTCACTTGAATTAAACATTAAGAATAGAGGATATCGGGCTTCCCTGGTGGCGCAGTGGTTGAGAGTCCGCCTGCTGATGCAGGGGACACGGGTTCGTGCCCCGGTCCAGGAGGATCCTGCAGGCCGAGGAGCGGCTGGGCCCGTGAACCATGGCCGCTGAGCCTGCGCATCCGGAGCCTGTGCTCCACAACGGGAGAGGCCACAGCAGTGAGAGGCCCGCGTACTGCAAAAAAAAAAAAAAAATAGAGGATATACATTAAAGCATAATTTGATTTCATTTTAAGCTCTGTTAAATGAAGAGTATATGAGGAAGAGATGAAAGAACCTCAGAAATAAAAAGAAAAAGGTGGAGAGATTGGGTATATTAGGAGAAATAAAGAACAGAGGCAGAAAACCAAAAAAAGAAACAGGGATAGAGAAGAAATGTGAAGATAAGAGAGACAGTTCCCTAGAGAAAATTCACCATGGAAAGGTAGGAGACCTTGACTGTCTGAGAGTGTGAAGGACAGAGAACATGTTCTTAGCTTCTGAGGTCAATTTTAATGAGTTAAGTAGCTTTTGTTTTGTCCCCACATACCACACAGACCACTCATTCATTTGAGCTGTAGGTTTCAGATTATATTCCTCTTTAAGATACTAATTGCATGCCAATGCCTTGTTCTCTGATTTTTTAAGAGCTGTTCATCTTTAAATATTTAGAGATGCTTTGAGAAAAGGGATCCAGCAGTCCATATGGAGAGGAAAATGCCCTGGGCTGCTGAGGATATGCTTAAAATATTAACTCAGGAGTAGAATAAAATCAAACTAGAAACTACTCTGGCCTTTGTGCTGGAGCTGACTTGTTTCGGATGATTCCTGTAGAACCTATTATTTACTTATTTTTAAAACTGCATTGGGGGCTTCCCCATTGGCGCAGTGGTTGAGAGTCCGCCTGCCGATGCAGGGGACACGGGTTCGTGCTCCGGTCGGGGAAGATCCCACATGCCGTGGAGCGGCTAGGACCGTGAGCCATGGCTGCTGAGCCTGCGCGTCCGGAGCCTGTGCTCCACAACGGGAGAGGCCACAACAGTGAGAGGCCTGCATACCGC